GTAGTGAGCTACAACTGTGCCACTGTAGTCTAGCCTAGGCGACAATGAGACCTCGCCTAAAAAAAAAAAAAAAAAAAAAAAAGCAGAGGTCAATGCAATAGAAAACAAACACCAAAAAAAAAATAAAAATAAAAATAAAAATAAATAATAATAAAGCCACAATAATTGCTGTTAAGTCTTTGGGCAAAATATACTTCAAGTGACAGACTGATGGAAAGACAAAAAGGAAAAAGTACACATATTATGAGGTGGGTGCGCTAGTAAAAATAAAGACACCAGAGAAAAGAGAGAATGTTATCTGCTCAAACAAAAGAAGAAAAAAAAAGCTATCAATAACTTATGCCAATACATGTGCAAGTTTATATTTTAAAAACCTGCCCCAGATTTTACTATACAACAGTGAGTTACCACGTTAACAGATAACAGTTGCTTGCAGTATCACTTCACACTTGTGAATATATCTAGTAATACCAAAGTCCTCATCAGCAAAGGTACCTGACACCATTTCAATTATCCCTTTTGAAAACACAATATAGAAAACCACACAAACATACAGCTTAATGAATTTTCATAAGGCAAAACACCCTTCTGACTACCATCCAAGCCAAAAGAGAGAACGTCACCTGCCAGCCCAGAAGCCTCTGTGTGCTCCATCTTTATCAATCCTCTTCAAAAGCAACCCCTATGTGCCTTTTATATTAACGCCTGGAGATTCTTTACAGTTTCACACATACTGGCTATCCCTAGCCACTAGTTTAATCCTGCTCCTTTTATTTTCCTTTTAATCTCAAATTCCCGGGCTATACGACCCATAGTGTCCCAGACTATTTTTCCAGCTGCACACTCATGGTGAAGCTCAACCAACATACTCCTCTGGCTCTGTAACTTCTTGCAAACTGACTGCTGGACTGGAAGCTTGATGACTTAGGTTTACATTTTTGGCAAGACTAAAGTTCTGTTCTTTTGTATCAAGAGGCACAAAACAACTGGTTTTCACTCTTAAAAGCAAAACTCTAATTCTACCATCTTGTTCTCTTATTAGCTGAAATCATTTTAAAAGAAAATGTTTCTCTCATCTACTATATCAGAGGTTGGCAAATCTTTTAGGCTGTTTTAGGCTATGTAAGCTATATGGTCTGTTGCAACTATTCAACTAAGGTTGTAGTATGAAAGTAGCCATGGACAATACATACATGAATAGACACGGTTTGGTTCCAACAGATGCCAACTCCTGTCCTATGGGGTTACCCAGTGGTATCATTCTTACAGAAAAGACAGCATAAATGTTCAATTATTTTATTTACCCAGTTTTCAAGACAATGAATGAGTATCTACTATCTTCCAGAAGCTGACCAGTTAGGGCTTACTTTTTAAAAATGTCATTATGAAATTGTGGACTTAAATGGGCTTTAATCCACTGCCATTTTTACACCTACTGAATCTCAAATAATTCCCTTTTTGGCCAAGGGAAATCTCTCTAAGTTGGCTCCTGCATCCTTTGGACATGATCTACCATTCACTGACAGCTTCTTTGTTATCTGGGATGTTGAGCCCTTCCAGGATCATGTTAACATTTCCTGCTCCAGACCTGGAAAAAGACATTTCTCAAGAAGCCTATTGATTGATTGATTGATTGACTGAGATGGAATCTCACTCTGTTGACCAGGCTGGAGTACAGTGGAACAATCTCCGCTCACTGCAACCTCCACCTCCCAGGTCCAAGCGATTCTCCTGCCTCAGCCTCCTGAGTAGCTGGGATTACAGGCGCATACCACAACACCCAGCTAATTTTTTGTATTTTTAGTAGAGATGGGGTTTCACCATGCTGGCCAGGCTGGTTTTGAACTCCTGACCTCAGGTGATCCACCCACCTTGGCTTCCCAAAATGCTAGTATTACAAGCGTGAGCCACCGCACCCGGCCCAAGAAGCCTAATTTTTTAAATAGGAAGTATTCCAAGACCACAATCTGGGAACTACAGATGATGCTAACGGTTGACGAATGTTTCTACGCCCTTCCAGTAGACAGAACTAGAAAAAAATACATTTATATATAAAATACAATGTGCGTTCCAAAAAATTTCCAATGTAAATTCAGGACAACAGGCTTTTACTTGTCTGAAGCTCATCCTCCATTAGATTCCCTAAGAAAAGTTCATGGGAATAGCAGTCTCTGAATTTCTGCATATAGATAACAGTTGGTGCCGGATCACTTCTAAAGGTCACTTTTGCTGGACATTAAATTCTTGGCTCACATTTTCTTTTCTGGAGTATCTTAAATATGCTAGTCCATTTTCTTCCAGCACAAAAGTGATGCTGCTGAAAAGTCTGATGATAATCTACTTTCTTTTTCTTCTAAGTTATGTGCCCCTTTTGCCTAAATGTTCAAATGATTTTTTTTCTTTTTAAAATTTCATTAATTATATAATACATCTTAGTGTTATGGTTCTGGGTAAATATTCTCAGGTATACTGTGCAATTTTTCAGACAACAGTTTCAAATATGTTTTCACTTCAAGAAAGTCTTCTTGAAAGACAGTTAACGCTTATTCTGTTCCTCTGAATATTGCTTCTTTGGAGATTCCTATTATAAATATACTGTATTTCTATTGCCTGTATTCAATATTTGCCACTTTCTCATGAGCCCTTTCTTTTCGACTTGTAAAATGTTGTCTTTTATCTTCAATTTCTCTGAAGATGTTTTATTTATTTTTAAATTACTATTTTCTGTAGCCATAAGGTCTTGCTATGTTGCCCTGGCTGATCTTGAACTGGCCTCAAGTGATCCCCCTGCCTTGGCCTCCCAAATTGCTGGGATTACACGCATGATGTTTTATCTTATTAAGACACACCAATTCTTGAGTTCTTTCTAATTTAGTCTTCATTTATTTTGAGACAGGGTCTCACTCTGTCACCCAAACTAGATGACAATGGCATGATCATGGCTCACTGCAACCTCAGCCTCCTGTGCTCCAGCAATCCTCTCACCTCCGCCTCCCTGGAGGGCAATGGTATGATCATGGCTCACTGCAACCTCAGCCTCCTGGGCTTCAGCAATCCTCCCACCTCAGCCTCCCAAGGAGAGAGGACTACCGGTGTATACCTCGCCCAGCTAATGTTTTTATTTTTTGTAGAGACATGGTTTTGCTATGCTGCCCAGGCTAGTCTCAAGTGATCCTCCTGCCTCAGCCTGCCAAAGTGTTGGGATTACAGGCATGAGCCACTGCACCCAGCCTCAAAGTTTTTCTGTTTTATGTTTCTCTTGGTTTTGTCTTGTGTTATTTAAATAATGTCTTCTAGCTCACTTTGAAATTATATTTCTTTTTGGTATACTTTTCAACATGCTTTCACTGAAACAGTGCTATTTTGTCTTTTATTCCCTTTTATCTTTTAATTTGGCACAGGACATTGATACTTTTCTATTGTTCATTTTAGGGGAAAGTTTGCTTTGGATAGCTATTCTAACTTCAGAATCCACAACCTCCTTCTGCTGATTTTGTGATGTTAAAAAATATGGCACCTTGCTTTGAGATTTCCTATTGTTTTCCTCTATTTTTATCTGACATCCTTTCCTTTTCTCTACTGTTTCCCTGCTCCATTTGACTCCACTCCAAGACTCTCATGTAGAGTCCTGTCTTTGAAGAAAACATTGGTGCAACACATTACAGACTCCATAGGGAGTAGACCACTACAGCCCTTTCAGGTCAGCCTCATCTGTCACTGCACTGTGCAAAATCCCTCCTCAGTTTCAGCTACTCTTCTCAATTTGGCCCATTCACATTTTCCAATTGGTACCTGCCGTTTGGGTGCCAAACAGGTCTTGTCCTCAGGCCTATCACTTATCAGAACAGCACATAACACTGTCATAGCAAACTATACAATACAGTAAAAATTTTTTAAAGAGACACAATGAGGAGACAAATACAGAACTGACAATGTTGAAATCATAAGGTTTCATGAAACCTGGAACAATTTAAAGGACAGTTTTGGAGAAATGAAAAAATACATTCAAAGGTTCTTGAGAAGGATGTGAGAAGTAACATAATAAGCATATAGGTTTTTTTGGTGGGGTTTTAAAATTCAAATCTTTGTAGAAAAAGAAACAGAAGAAACAAGAATCCTTGATGACAGAAGAAACAAAAGGTTTGAAGAGTCGTGGAGAAGGGCTGTGCAGGCCCAGGGATCCAGGTAACAGAGACACCAAAAGTTCAAACTAACAGCGTTAGTTCTGGGCAGTGAGGAGGCGGCGGGAGACACTTTCACAAAGGAGTTAGAAGATGAGAGACACACTTTCAAAGTCAAAAGATTGTATAGGAATTGGGGGAAAAAGCTGAAAAAAAAACAAAAAAAAAAAAAAAAAAAAAAAGAGCTGGAAGCAAATTGAAGTATGTTAAGCATGAGGGTTGCTGGGACACATATGGGAGGTCAGAGACAGGATGCTTAAGAGAGGGGGGGAGATTTAAAGATAACTAACATTTCAAGTTCAGGTAAACGGGCAGGATCAACAAAAAGAGGAAAAGAAAGAATGCAGAAATAAATATATCTTTAAGAAGGAGCTATCTAAAGACTTGCAAAATTCTGATAACAACTAAGGCTTAATGACTGGGTTCATGAGAGCTCACTATACTAGCCTTTCCATTTTTGAGAATATTAAAATTTTCCACAATAAAAAGACTTACAAAAATTTCTAGAAAAGGCTGGGTGCAGTGGCACACACTTGTACACACTTCCAGCTACTAAGGATGCTGAGGCAGGAGAACTGCTTGAGCCCAGGAGTTTGAAGCCTGCCTGGGCAACACAGCAAGACCCTACCTCTTTAAAAAAAAAAAAAAGTTTCTGGAAAGTGTTGGTATGAACCTTCCTCATGGTATCCTTCTCATTCTATTTCTGGGCTTAATCACCACTTTTTTCAAAGTGTACCATTTCATAAAAATTCACTGGAAAATATTCAATGCCTCATGAAAAAACTGTAGTAAAGAGTGAAATATCATTTAAGTTATTACCTTGATTTTTTTCTACAGAATCTCCTTTTGTTTCCTCTTCTTTAATGGGGGGACTTATTCTGGGGGTCCTACTTTGTCCCTGGACCACTTCTGCTAGCAATTCTTCTTGAGAAGTTCGAGTTCTGGGAGCAACTGGAAGGGTCTGTTTCTGTGGGACTTTCACATAAAAGCAAAAAAGATAGAAATACAAATGCAGTAATACATCAAAACTCAACAGTGACTATGTCATACTAAATACAAATGCCTCCTCTGGTTTAGAACATACGAGGAGTTTGGGCTGGGCACAGTGGCTCATGCCTGTAATCTCAGCACTTTGGGAGGCAAGGCGGGTGGATCACTTGAGGTCAGGAGTTTGAGACCAGCCTGGCCAACATGGTAAAACCTCATTTCTACTAAAAATACAAACATTAGCTGGGCGTGGTGGCACACACCTGTAATCCCAACTACTCAGGAGGCTGAGGGAGAAGAATTGCTTAAACCCAGAAGGCAGAGGTTGCAGTGAGCCAAGACTGTGCCACTGTGCACTCCAGCCTGGGCAACAGAGTCAGACTCTGTCTCCAAAAAAAAGAAAAGAACATATATATGAGGAGTTCAATCCATAGATACCATTCATTTTTTCTTACAACATTACTGAGATAGATACCTGACCTATTTATCCAAACATATGTAAACAATGTCCATACAACCACAAGCCATGAATACAATACAGTACATATGTATTAATTTTCAACAAAACGCGGTTTATTTAAGCTTAGCTTCATGATCTTATATCAGTTTCAAATTGTAATTTAGATAACCTAGGTAAAGAAAGAAATGTTCAAAGCCATGGACATTCTCTAAACTTCTCATCATTCTAGACAATTAATATTGCTGATAGATCAGGAAATGAAATGTAGATATACCATTAGGTCAAGAGCGGGCATTTGCCTGATAATCCTTATTTTATATGCAAAAACCTGTCGAATTTAGTGTTCAAGGTTAAATTAGGGATGAGGAGAACCAAGAGGACAGGCAAGTATCAGGACCAAAAACTGATGGTGCCAGGCGCGGTGGCTCACACCTGTAATCCCAGCATTTTGGGAGGCCAAGTCAGGTGATCACCTGAGGTCAGGGGTACGAGACCAGCCTGGCCAACATGGAGGAACCCCATCTCTACTAAAAATACAAAAAAATTAGCCTGGCAAGTTGGTGGGCGCCTGTAGTCCCAGCTACTTGAGAGGCTGAGGCAGGAGGATCACTTGGACCCAGAAGGCAGAGGTTGCAGTGAGCCAAGATCACACCACTGCACTCCAGCCTGGGCAATGGAGCAAGACTCCGCCTCAAAGAAAACAAACAAAAAAACTGATGGCTACAGTTTACCTCACTTTAGGAACGGGGTCACAAAAGAGAGAAGCAAGAGAGAGTGGACAAGCAGGGCAATGCTGTAAGTACATCCATCAAATCCACAGCAAAACTTACATCTTTTTAGAGTAGCTCATCACCATCAGCTTGTTAACACAAGTTTACACATTGGCTACAACAGGTCGGCCACAGAGTACAGAATTTAATGACAACACAAAATGACACCCATCAGTTGTCTGCATTTCAGAATCAGCTTTCCGTAAGACCAGCTTACTGCTGATTCATCTCTTGTTTTGAAAACATGTAATACTTCTATATTCTCTCATAAAATGATTTAGTACTTCCACCACAATTGGAGCAGGAACATCACAAATGAGTCAGTTCTCTGCCTTATATTCTATTAACGAGTTCCACCAAAAGGGAAGAAACCAACCTCGTTTATAAACTACTGTTTAACAAACTATAACTTCAGCCGCCTATTATTATCCAATTGTACTCCCATTTATACATCATAAATTTATATCTAATGTTGAATCTAATGCTACTAACATGAAAGTCCCACTTCATCAAAATTCTCTTCAAAATGTTTACGTACTATATATTTCACAAACATTGAAAAGAGTATAAAAGGCATTATATGGTGCTTGAAAAACTATAGTCCATTAACAGTTTGCAAAGTTTCTCAAACCTGTCAATCTCCTTTTAAAGCCATTCTTCTATAGGGGAACCTCATCTTGGCCTTGACATCTGACAGGCACCTTTATTTTACCACAATTTAAGGAGCAATCGTTTTCAGCTTACTCAAGAATTACAGAAATGTCTTACCAAGTGTAAACATAATACATTTAAATTACCTGTAGAGTAGTTAGTTGTTTTTGTTACGGATTCTTGAGCTTCAGAGATAGCCTTCAAAATCAGATTCTTGTTAGCTTGTTTAGAAGGTGGAAGAGAAGGTCTAAAAGAGTTAAGAAAGGTATTTTTATTAAACTTTAAATTTCAGTTCTCCACAGGTCATGCATCTATTATGCCTTTACCACAACCTTCTCTAGGTTTCAGACTAGCTGCAGTTTTTAGAAAACGTCAACTACACTGGAACCTTACTATTATTTTTTTCGAGACAGAGTTTTACTCTCTCACCCAGGCTGGAGTGTAGTATCACTGCAGCCTTAAACTTCTAGGCTCAAGCAATCCTTCCACATCAGCCTATCCAGTCTAGGACTACAGGTGCCTGCCAAAATGACCAGGGAATTTATTTTAGTTTTGTACAGACAAAGACTCACTGCATTGCCCAGGCTGGTCTCAAACTCCTGGTCTCAAGCAATCCTCCTGCCTCAGCCTCCCAAAGTGCTAGGTACAGGCATGAGCCACCATGTCTAGGCCCCTTTTAGTTTTTTTAAATAATAAATGTGAATCTTAATTGATGTTGTTCCCCCTCACTCCGCCATCATATTAGTCAATATTCTCTGCATTCCTCTCCAATGTTAAGCAATTTCTCTCATTAACGTGTTTCTCAAAACCCAATGAAAAAGTCTTACGTGGTATTACATTAAATATGTATGCCAGGTGCGGTGGTTCACGCCTGTAATCCCAACACTTTGGGAGGCCGAGGAGGGCAGATCACCTGAGGTCAGGAGTTCGACACCTGCCTGGTCCAACGTGGTGAAACACCATCTCTACTAAAAATACAAAAATTAGCTGGTCGTGGTGGTGCGCACCCATGATTCCAGCCATTCAGGAGGCTGAATCAGGAGAATTACTTGAACCTGAGAGGCAGAGGTTGCAGTAAGCTGAGATCGTGCCACTGCACTCCAGCCTGGTTGACAGAGCGAGGCTCCGTCTCAAAAAACAAACAAAAATTATTTTTGTGATTATTCTCTTCAAGAAATCAGAAGACTCTACCAAGGCAGTTAAAGCTGAATTTACAGCCACGTTCAAGGTACCTCCTTTCAGGCTTTGCTGGCACAGACACACTGCTGGAGATGCTTCCTGTTCGAGACCCATAATCATCATCTTCTTCCTCCTCTTCTCCATCATGATTGAACTTTTTCACTTTAACAACTGAACTTACCACAGGCAACTTTCTCTTCCGAAAGTTTTCATCCTGCAATCAGATAAGATTTATGCTTACTTAATTTCAGAAAACAAAAGTTCTACAAAATGTTTCCATTTTAAGAAAAAAATAGTACACGGTAATATGAGAAATTCAGAGTATTTTTTAGTTTTGCATAAAAATATAAATATGAGGACAGGCGTGGTGGCTCACATTTGTAATCCTAGTACTTTGGAAGGCCATCATGGGCGGATCACAAAGTCAGGATTTCGAGACCAGCCTGGCCAATATGGTGAAACCCCGTCTCTACTAAAAATACAAAAATTAGCTGAGCGTGGTAGCACACGCCTGTAATCCCAGCTACTCAGGAGGCTGAGGCAGAAGAATCACTAGAACCTGGGAGTGCAGGATGCAGTGAGCCAAGATCACGCCACTGCACTCCAGCCTGGCCGACAGAGTGAGACACCATATCAAAATAAACAAATAAATAAATAATATAAATATTATCCTTACCAGTCAACCTTTAGCTAAAACAAAAATTAGAACTTTATTTTATTAACAGCTGCATACAGTGCTACTGAGGAAACTAATAAAACGGAGTTAATTAGTTGCTTACTAGCAATTACCATGAACAATCTAAAATTGATCTGAAACCCCCCCCCATAAATTAATTTAAGATTAAAGCTATCTCAAATGCTGAAAATCCCAAAAAGGTATACAGATGTGACATAAAAGAACTCTAGGAGCAAGCCATGGAGAGGAAAATCTGGTATACCAAGAGATACAGCAGATAAAACAATTTAAAAATAAACTTGGGGCTGGGCGCCGTGGCTCACGTCTGTAATCCCAACACTTTGGGAGGCCCAGGCAGGTGGATCACAAGGTCAGGATTTCAAGACCAGCCTGGCCAACATGGTGAAACCCACCTCTATTAAAAATATAAAAAATTAGCCAGGCATGGTGGCGAGTAATCCCAGCTATTTGGGAGGCTGAGGTAGGAGAATCGCTTGAGCCCAGGAGGCGGAGGTTGCAGTGAGCTGAGATGGCGCCATCGCACTCCAGCCTGGGCCACAAGAGCGAAACTCCTTCTCAAAAAGTAAAATAAAATAAACTTGGTATATGTGTTTAGCTACTTCATATATTATTTAGTATCAAGAACTGCTGAATTTTAGCCTAATAAGCCAGAATTTAAAAGTACATACAAACCTCCATACTCATTTTCTCCGAGTTGTTTCTAAAGAATGGACTATACGTTTCTTCTAAGCTGTTAAGCACTTCTGGTTCACACAAACGTCCTGTTTCATATACCCAACTATTCTGCATATCAAGCTGCTTGGCAGCATGAATACTATTTTGCTGCTGTTGAAATTGCAACCTGTTTAAATGAACACCACTATCTGCATTTCTACTTGCAGGTGGTCGATAAATTTCAATAGAAGGGCGAGAAGAACCATATGTAAGTGTCACTGTAGGTTTTTTCTGAGATAAGGGATTCTCCTGCACAAAGTTGAGGTCTTCGTCAATGAGATCATCTGGTTCTGGCTTAATATCAATCACATCTTCAGAGGGTGCTGGCTCCCTCAAAGGCTTCACTGTTGACATTAGTCGGGTTGCAGCTCCATCATCATAAGTCTGCCTATTTAAAAGAACAACAAAACGTATTACAACTAAATTAGGGCAATTATCTCCAAATCTTTAAAGAATGCTTACTTGAAAAATTTCAAGGCAAAAACTGAGGATACTCCCTTTAGGTATTCCATTCGAAACTACTTTGAAATTGCACTTTCTTTAAACTTTGATTTACTAAATTTGTGATGAAAGATAATCATACTTAGATCTTATCCATTATTTTATTCAAAAAACTGCTCATGATCACTTCACTGTTCCTAAAAATTGCTGAGAACAGCAAACTGAAAGATATAAAAACTAATAAAAATGTCACATACACAAAGCCATCTGCCCACAGCAGGTCTACACCGGACTCTTACCTGACATTAGTGGTTTTTGACTCCTGTGAACTCGTAGAAACTCTGGAATCTCTTTTTTCAGGTCTCGTGCTAGGAATGGCAAGTGGTGGCACTGCAGCTTCATGCCTCCTCTCATCTCCCCGACTGAAATTGCTCTTGTTTGAAGGCACGTTACTATCAAAGATGTTGGTATCAGACGACTTTAGACTAGAGGGTTCTGAAAAGAAAAATACAGTCCTTTTAATCTATTTTTATTTTTATTTACTTATTTTGAGATGGACTCTCGCTCTGTCGCCAGGCTGGAGTGCAGTGGTGCGTTCTCAGCTCATTGCCACCTCCAAATCCCTGGTTCAAGCGATTCTCCTGCCTCAGCCTCCTGGGGAGCTGGGATTACAAGCACGCACCATGACGCCCAGCTAATTTTTATATTTTTAGTAGAGACGGAGTTTCACCATGTTGGTTGGCCAGGATGGTCTCGATCTCCTGAGCTCATGATCCGCCCACCTTGGTCTCCCAAAATGCTGGGATTACAGGTGTGAGCCACCCTGCCCAGCCATCTATTTTTATTACTTTAGGTCTTTTCCTTCCTCATCACCAATTCAAAAGCAATATGTGTTTATTGCAGAAAAATTTAAAAACATAAATAAAAATCACCAATTATCTCAAAGGTGATTTTTGGGGGGAAGAGCATATATACACATTTTTGAAAACATGTATCTTATGTGTGTATACTCTCATGTTATTCTTCCATAACATTATTTTCAATAGTTGAATATTATTTCACACATGGTAATAAAAAAATTTCATTTATTATTATTGAACTTTTAAATTGTTTTCAATTATAAAATACTGAAATATCCTTGAGGCTAAATCTCTGCACACATATGTAATTATTTCCTTCGGATAAAGTGCACTGCTCCCTCTCCTACACTTAAATATCTTTGAATTATATTAAATTTACTGGTCTTAAGTTCATAAAAATATGTGCTTTCTAAAAAAGTTCAAATGAACCACTGTTTTGAAAGTCATGGGTTTTTCCCAAAGCACTATAAATGACTTTAGAAAGAAACAAATCATATGCCATTGCAAGCAGAAATTTAAAAAAAAAACAATGTTATGAATCTTACCAGTCGTTACAGAGCGAAGTTTATCTAATACACCATGAAGCCTGAGAAAAAAACAAAAAACAATAAAGCCTCCATTAAGATTTCAATTCAACCGTCACTCTAAATTTATGACATTAGATTCAGAGATTTTTTTTTTAAATTTTTAAAATATTTTTATTATTTTTAAATAGAGATGGGGTTTCACCATGTTGTCCAGGCTGGTCTTGAAGTACTGGACTTGAGAGAACCACCTGCCTCGGCCTCCCAGAGTGCTGAGATTACAGGCATGAGCCACCGCACCCAGCCGAGATAAATACTGATAAGCTATATTTAGTGAATAAATTGTATTAAAATTAACTTTCAAATTTCACATTTTTAAAAAAAGGATTTGTATAAATCCTACAGAAATCAATAAAAAATATTTTTTTTCTTCACTGTTTTCAACATCTAGCCTATGCAAAAATATGGGAAAGAATATCATCTGACCAGAGTCTTAGTCTACAAAATATGTCACCCTGTTTTCTAAGTACTAAAGATTTACTGTAGCTTACAGTAAAACAAGTATCATAAACATGTAATATTGCTTATTATTACAACCATTTAAGCAGCTTATATTAACTGCTTAAATTAGATGGCTTCTTGGACAACTTAATTCTGAGAGATTAAAAAAAGTTATCTCAAAATATGCTGTATCATTTCACTCTTAATACTTTCAAAACTGATGCTGTAAGGCTGTAATCTTGCTTGTAACATAACCTGTTTTGGTAGTTATAAATGAGGTAATTTGCCTCACATCCCTTCCCAGTACCTCCCCAAAAATGCCAGAAATCTCATATTTCAATGAGAACCCTAGTCACACGCTACTGTCCCCATGGACACAATTACTTCAAGGCTCCAAATAATCACAATAGTCTGTTTGGGGCTAGTGTTAACACTAACTTAAGAAAGCAAAGTGCCAAAATGGGGACATCACCCTTTGCATCAGCACATATTAAAGAACTGAATTTATGGCCAGATGAGAATGTTGAATCAATCTGGTTTTAAATTCACTTAGTAGTCTGTTTTAAAAATCTGTCTAAAGTATTTCATCAAGTTTTTGGAGAAAAGGATCTACTCAGTCAATCTTCCATCTTAGATTGGCTGGACTTTAGAAATAAAAATAGTACTCACAATAATGGTAATTTCCCCAGTCAAAAGCCCCACCATCTTTTTTTGCGGGGGGCTGGGAGGGAATAACCTCTGGGGACAAATTGTAACAAATGGGTTGGGTCACCCACAGTGAGGCAGCAGTGTGTGTATCATAACAACTGATGACCACTATACAACGTTCTTCAAATTTGTGCAATGTATAAACCCAGAGAATTCTGTGCAGAATTTCAAGAAGACTGATAAGCATACAGTTGCCTACTGGGGCAAAAACACCTTGAAGACAACCTTTGGTATAAAGGCAAGAACTTAACCAGGCTCATCTCCCCACTTAGTGCCTCCTCTTGCCATTCAAATTTAGCAGGCCACTTGCTTACTTAACTTTTGCTACATCATCACCTTTTATGGTAACTGGTAGTTCCTAGTCTGAGGGGCCTAACAAAGTATTTCTTGTGTCTATTCTCAGCTACATCATTATCCTCCAGCCCTCATCTTCACTTTACCTCAAACCTGGTACTAGGACCTAGCATCTTAAGTTGAATCTTACTCTTCTTGTCAGTATTCTCAACTAAAGGCATACAACAGTAATTTATGTATAAAAGCAAAGTTGCCTATTTTAAAATTCCAAACTTAAAAAAACTTATAATCTCAAAATATGCTATAACATTACGCTATAATTATTACTCAAAATGAAGGTGTGAGTTTAATAAAAAGCTAAAAAAGTTAGAACCAGAAAAGTGAGAAACAGAAAACCTTGCCCTATAAAAGGTAACTCATTGTAAAAGGCAATATAAGAAGCCAATCCAGTTCAAAAAAACATCTGTAACTGGTTTTAGTGCGGGAAAAGGAACTATAAGATACAGAAGCTGGCCAGGTGCGGTGGCTCACACCTATAACCCCAAGACTTCTGAAGGCCAAGGCGGGAGGACTGCTTGAGCCCAGGAGTTCAAGATCATCCAGGTCAACATACTAAGACCCTGCCTCAACAAAAAATTTACAAACTAGCCAGGCGTGGGGAGTGCAGGAGGGAGGGTACTGCAATGGGATGATCATTTGAGATCAGGAGATCGAGGCTGCAGGGAGCTGTGATTGTACTACTGTGCTCTAGCCTGGGTGACAGAGCAATACCCTGTCTCAAAAAAAAAAGATATAGACCTTTACAAAAGAAACATAGTAAGTACAGCCAACATATACTAAGAATCCCTTAGGGAAATGAGCTAGGGACACCTATAAGTACTTTACACATATTAGCCCATTTGATCCTCAAAATAATTTTATAAAGCAAGTGACTGTACTATTCCCATTTTATAGCTAGAAAAACCAAGGCAAGACACAGGGCCAGGATTCAACTTTGGCTGTCTGGCTTCAGAGGCTGATAAGGTTTGGCTCTGTGTCCCCACCCAATTCTTATATTGAATTATAATCCCCACCTGTCAAGGGAGGGAGGTGACTGGATCATGGGGGTGGTTTCCCCCATGATGTTCTCATGACAGTGAGTTCTCATGAGACAGTGAGTTCCCAAGTTCTCAAGAGACAGTGAGTTTTCACGAGATCTGATGATTTTATGTAAGTCTCTGGAAGTTCCTCCTTCACTCTTCTCTTTCCTGCCGACTTGTGAAGAAGGTGCTTGCTTCCCCTTCCGCCATGACTGTAAGTTTCCTGGGGCCTCCCCAGCCATGTGGAACTTCGAGTCAATTAAATCTCTTTCAGAAATTACCCAGTCTCGGGTATTTCTTCACAGCAGAGTGAAAACGGACTAATACAGAGGCTGTGCCCTCATCACTCACAAACTGCCTCTCCAAAGTGAACTTAACTCAACTGTCAAGAACCTCTCTTCGGACAGAATATCAACTCAGGCTTGTGCCAAACTTTAGTCTGAGGCTCAAAAATTCAGAAACATACCATACGGTGAATCGAATTGTGTTGTTCCCTAGAAACAGGGACAGATCCTCTGTCATTTGGTCCTGACTTTTCTTGTTGGCCACCATCACCATAATGTAATCAGGAAGTTCTTCATCTATTTAAAAGGAAAGGTATATCAAAACTTTGTTTCCTCAAAACTTTCTTCTTAAAGTAGATGTGCTTGAAAATATAGATGTAGCTCTAAGCTTTAGAGTCTCAGAGCTCTAGTGGAATTACATTGGACAAGACGGCTTAGCTTTAATTTTTTTCTCTTCATTCCACAAGTATTTCAATTACTAGAAGGATGGAAATTAAGAATAACTGATACTTACAAAACTAGACATTCTGAATTAAAGGGTCAAACTTGAGCGTGCATTCACTTCCTTGAATCTTTTTAATAATGTTTACTAATTTCAAAGAAGCTTCCAGGAAATATATGAACATTTCCCAAGAAAAAGAATTGAATTTTGTTTAGTTTTAATTTACATTGTTTCAAGACAACATTCATTTCTCAAGTGAACATATTTGCCCTTGCTAAAGGTAGGTTTCAATTACTCAGGGTAACAAACTTGTAGCAGTATCAAATAAACAAATAGACCCAAAAGCTCCACATCATTTAAAAAACTCAATTTTGACATTAAATAATGTCAACTCAATGCACTGTTTTACCCTCACGGTGGTAATGCTACAATGATTATAAGGGTGAGGTCTAGGATTTAAAAAAAAAAAAAAAAAAAGGCCGGGCACAGTGGCTCACGCCAGTAATCCCAGCACTTTGGGAGGCCAAGGCAAATGGATCACGAGGGCAGGAGGTTGAGACCATCATGGGTAACACAGTGAAACCCTGTTTCTACTAAAAATATAAAAAATTAGCCAGGTGTGGTGGCGGGGGCCTGTAGTCCCAGCTACTCGGGAGGCTGAGGCAGGAGAATGGCGTGAAGCCGGGAGGCAGAGCTTGCAGTGAGCTGAGACAGCACCACTGCACTCCAGCCTGGGCAACAGAGCAAGGCTCTGTCTTGGGGAAAAAAAAAAAAGAAACCAAAAAACACCCTTCCCTTGGTAATCCTACAAGGATTATGAGACTGAGGTCTAGGATTTAAAACAACAACAACAACAACAAAATAAAACAAAAAACCTCAATAAGAAGATAAGGAAGCAAAAGCTGTTATCAGGAACTCTAATCTCTGCCCCCAAAAACTCCATTAGATTTTTTTTTTTTTTCTTTTGAGACAGTCTCGCTCTGTCTCCCAGGCTAGAGTGCAGTGGCACCATCTTGGCTCACTGCAACCTCTGCCTCATGGGTTCAAGCGATTCTCCTGCCTCAGCCTCCGAGTAGCTGGGATTACAGGCATGTGCCACCACGCCCACCTAATGTTTGTATTTTTAGTAGAGACGGGGTTTCAGCATGTTGGCTAGGCTGGTCTCGAACTCCTGAACTCAAGTGATCCACCCACCTCGGCCTCCCAAAGTGCTGAGATCACAGGCACGAACCACCATGCGGTGCCAAATTTCTTTAATACCTTAAATACTTGTAGTATTTCTATGCAGGCAGAAAGGTTCATTTCAGAAGTACTTTTTTTGTTTCAAAGAAAAATATAAAAAATGCAGTTCAAGTGTTGAGAGAATAAAATAATAAATAAATCTTGGTTCAGCTTCATTTTCTCTAAGCTTCAATTCTCTCCTGTTAGTCTTACAACAATCCTGACAACAAATTATTTATGAAAGTGCCCAGCAAATGGTGGTAAGTACTCCATAAATTACCAGTTCTCAAACTGGTCTTGGGGCCCTTCTCTGGTTTATGCAGGTTCTATCTATTATTTACTGTGTTCAAAATTAGAACTGATCATTTTTAATTAAAAAGTATTTATTCATTAAATAATACATCCATCACATGTTAATCACAAACCCAATAATATTAACATAAGTAACATTATTTTTATTAAATTTTCCAAAAAAAATATAGGTGAGGCACGGTGGCTCATGCCAGTAATTCCAGCACTCTGGGAGGCCGAGGCAGGTGGACCACCTGAGGTCAGGAGTTGGAGATCAGCCTGGCCAACATGGTGAAACACTGTCTCTACTAAAAACACAAAAATTAGCTGGGGGTGGTGGTGGGTGCCTGTAATCCCAGCTACTCAGGAGGCTGAGGCAGGAGAATCGCTTGAACCTGGGAGGTGGAGGTTGCAGTGAACCAAGATTGCACCACTGCACTCCAGCCCGAACCACAGAGTGAGACCCTGTCTCAAAAAAAAAAAAAAAAAAGAAAAGAAAAGAAAAAGTTACTGCAAAGACTGGCCTTGTTTCGCATTTTTATATATCTTGTTCTATGTCCTTACGACTGAAGAATGTGAAAAAATCTGGTCTCACACATATGCAGTTGAAAAAGGAGTATTCTGATAGTTTTTTCACATAAGGTGGATATTTTTCTGTGACACTACACCAAAACTAAACAAGTGGTAGCTTATTAAACATTAAAGCAATGTGGAATGTCAAATACATCAACGACCTTTTTGAACTGTTGCACAGAAATCCAGTGACCCACCCTACAGTTGAAATAAATCTTTAATCCATGCACAGTTTTGTAACATTATGCATTCGTTATTTAGAAAATATTGGTTCAATTAGCTACAAAAACCACTGGCACATTGATATATTTCATTATGTAATATAAAATAATTATTTTTTAATATCACCATTGAGTTGGCCAGGCGCGCACGCCTGTAATCCCAGAACTTTGGGAGGCTGAGGCGGGCGAATCACAAGGTTGGGAGTTTGAGACGAGCCTGGCCAACATGGTGAAATCCTGTCTCTACTAAAAATACAAAAAATTAGCTGGGCATAGTGGTGGGTGCCTGTAATCCCAGTTACTTGGGAGGCTGAGGCAAAAGAATCGCTTGAACCTGGGAGGCAGAGGTTGCAGTGGCCAAGATCACGCCACGGCACTCCAGCCTGGGTAACGAGTGAAATTTCGTCTCAAAAAATAATAAGAATAAAATTTTTTTAAATCACCATTTACTTAATCAGAAATGTTTTAAGTACTGGGAAGCTGTCAAGTTCATGGAGGCAGTCTCAGATTTTCCAAAATTCTAATTTTCATTTGAAAGCTCACATGTGATTGGCAACAAAGACTACAGGTTCTTTGCTCACTTTCAAGTAAATACCTGCCAAATATCCTAGGGTACGTAACCAGTTTGTCAGTACTTTGAAGTTAAAAATGATGTTCCCTGAAAGAGGTGGCTAGCTTAATTCTCAACTCAAATGATTTTCCTTAACCATATTTCAGTATACAATAAAAATGTTTTATGAGCATTTCTATTTCCTCACACTGAATACTAAGAAGATAAAAAACATTTTGTAAACCCTGGACTTCACATCTTCATCAATGACATTTTAAGTGTAATTAGCTTAAAAAAAAAAAAAAAAACTATAAGGGGGGAGTGATTTGAATATGATTTCATTATGGTGTTACTATGTTGACCAGTTGATAAAATGGTTGATAACACTTTATCAACCATTAGTTTTACACAATCCAAATATCAATGCAGAGAAAAATAGCACATACCATCTCAGTATTAATATGAAAACAGTTTTGACTTCAGAGACCCTTGGAGTCTCTCACACTTTGAGAATCACCGTCTGAAGTGGTAGCTATTATTGTTATAGGAGGCACCAGCTTTGGGGGCAAACCATAAAACCTTGCTCAAGTAGGCAAAGCCTCAGTTTCCTTGTTTACACAGTCTAGGATACTGCCACTTACCTTCCAGTATTCTCATAGGGATTATCCTGAGTTAATACACATACAACAGTTAAGCACAGTACCTGACCCAGAGTAAACACTCAAATTATAAAAGAATAAGGAGAAGGAAAACGTTGCCTTACTGTTTCAAAGAGAGAAAGAGGAAAAACATAAAGAGATCGGAAAATAAAATTCACTGAACCATTACAGAAGCAAATGCCAGAAAGCATAAAAACGCATATCCAAAATCAGAGTTCTAAAAACAAATGTCAAGAGGAAAGTAACAAGAACAGTAAACTTTAAACAGGCATGGTGGTTCACACCAGTAATCCCCGCACTCCCAGCACCTAGGGAGGCTGAGGTCAGATAATTGCTTGAGATCAGGAGTTAAGGCCTGGGCAACGTAGTGAGACCCGTCCCTAGAATTTAAAATGTGAGAGAATAGGAAAAACATAAAATAAAATTCGCTCAAACATTATGTAAAATGTGACAGAGCCTTAATGGAGGAAACTAAATTTCAAAACACCATAACAGAAGGAGGTTTGGGAGGAAAAAAACAAGGTTGCAAAAAGATGATAAATAAGTAACCAGGGAGTATAAGATTTGAAGACGGTAGAAGGGAGTCTCTCCCAATGTCCAAAGTACGGTGAGAAATATGCATTCACTAAAATTCAATTAGCTGCAAACTCTAAATTCTATGAAACTAACAACTCAAAATACACTTACCAACATAGGCTCCTAATTCTTGCAATTTCCCCTTAATGGCACTCTGAGAGAAAAAGAGCAAACGAGCATGTGAGAAAGGCGGCTCTAGGAAAACAAGACCGGATTCTGCAGCGCTGAGGCCACTTCACTGGTGCGCGCACCTCCAGGTCCCCCGGGTGGGGGCGGGGAGGAGCCTCGCCTGCACCACCACCCCCACCCCGCACCCCACTCCCGCTCCGGCCCCGCGGCGCCCACCTCCCGCAGCGGATCCAAAGCGGCGCCCTGCGCCGCAGTGGTGGCTCCCGCCAGGCCTGAGCCTGTCCTTCCGTTTCCCGGCGGCTACTTCAGCCGCAGCCCTGCTCTGAGGCCGCAAACGTCCCCAGGCCCAAGGCGGCCTGGACAAGGAGGAGCTGCAGCCCGCCAGGAGCGTCCAGCGGCGGCCAGGCCGCGGCGTCCACCCGGGCCCAAGGTCCCCGTTACTCCTGACAACCGCCCGCTTGCCGAGACCTGGCTTCCCACCCCCGCCCGGCACGGGCCTCACCCGGATCTTGCGGCTGATCTCGGTGCCGATCTCCATGGCTCCGCGGCGTGCGGGAACTCAGCACTGCGCGGCGCTTGGCTTACCCGGAGGCTGCCGCGGACTCCTACCCCGCAGCCGAGCCACCACCGCCTCCTCCTCCGTTCCGCCCCCGGCCGCGCACACCGCGTATCCCCGCCCCCGCCGGCACGGCGCGCCGGAGTGAGCGCGCATGCGCCCGTGTCCGCGCCTGCGCACACCTTCTACCCGCGAAACCTATGTTCAGGCAAAGAGGGCGGTGGCATGCGCGTGTGGGTGGCCTTGCTGCTCCGCCTCCCGGGCACCTCGGGGACCCTTCCTTAGTCTCTCTGCTGGCCCTCCGCTTATTCATTTTATTCTCTCTTGGATGGTAAGAATGAATTAAATGTGTAGCAGAAAGATCTTGGGCTGTGATATGAGACGCGAGTTCAAATCCAGCCTTCACTTACTGTTAGTATGGTATCGGTCCAGGTATTTAAACTTTTCTTACGTGTAAAATGGAGTCTGCCTCTTAGAGGTTGCACTGCAATTACCCTTGAAGGGAAAATGGACTATCCGGAGCAACAGAGCCAATCCGTCAAGTCTCTGACTCTGCCCTACCTTGGCCCTTCTGGGTTTGGTTCTGCCTTCCTTCTCCCAGGCCCACCCGTGGCCTCTCCCCGAGACGAATCCCCATCCTCCTGCTTCTCTGAACACCCTTCGTGGGACAACACTTTTGTTCTGAGGATTTAAGTTGTCAACTCTGTGCTGATAATGACCGAATTTTCCATCAGCCTTGAATTCTCACACAAACTCCACTCCCAAATTCTAAGTGACTACTCTTATTTTCTCCAAACTCAGCACTTAGACAGAAGTCGCCTTCATCTCCCCTTCCTCCACTCAATACTATTCTTGATTCCGCTATTTGAATCAATAACTGAATTCTCCCTATCCCTGATCACAAAACCTGGAAAACAGAAGAGGCACAGAGAGGTCTCCTTTCTCCTTCATATCCACTAATTCCTAAGCGTGGTCTCTGTTGTCCATTGCTGCATAACAGATGACCACAAGTTTAGCAGCTTAAAACACAAACGTTTATCATCTCATGGTTTCTGTGGGTCAACCTCACTGGGTCCTCTGCTCGGGTTCTCACAAGACTACAGTCAAGGTGTCAGGCAGGCTGTGTTCTCATCTGGAGGCTTGACTGAGGAAGAACCTATGTTCAGGCTCATTCAGGTTGTTAGCAAGAATTCATTTCTGGCTGAGTGGGGTGGCTCATGCCTGTAATCCCAGCAGTTTGGGAGGCCGAGGCTGGCGGATCACTTGAGATCAGGAGTTCGTGACCAGCCTGGGCAACATGGCAAAAACGTATCTCTTCAAAAGTACAAAAAATTAGCTGGGCATGGTGGCATGCATTTCTAGTCCCAGCTACTTGGGAAGCTGAGAGGGGAGGATTGCTTGAGCCTGGGAGGCAGAGGTTACTGTGAGCCAAGATCATGCCACTGTACTCCAGCCTTGGTGACAGTGAAACCCTGTCTCAAAAAAAAAAAAAAAAAAAAAAAAAAATCATTTCCTTGTGGCTTTATGAGTAAGGACCCAGATTTTTTTCTGGTTATCATCTGGAAGCCACCCTCAAGTCCTAGAGGCTGCCCACAGTTCTTTGCCAAAGGGTTCACTAACATGTCTGTTCACTGAAGCCAGTAAAGGCCAGGCATAGTGGCTCACGCCTGTGATTTGAACTCAGTGAAGCAGAGGTGGGAGGATCACTTGAGACCAGAAATTTGAGACCAGCCAAGGGCTTTCATTTAATTAAGTTAGGCCCACCCGGGACCTGACCCCAAAATCAACTAATTCAGGACCTCAATTATATCTGCCAAACCTCTTATTTTTGCCAAATTTATTACCTAAGCAATCCACAGTAGGGGTCAGGAGTGGGTTGTACAGACAGCAGGAGCAGGAGTTGTGGGGCTACCTAGGGTCTGTCATATGGTCCTTTAGTAATCTCATATAATCCTTATGAATTCCTATGTCATCTATATGGATGCTATTAGTATAATAATATATTCTGTGCAATATTATTTCATGTGTATGTGTGTCTTCCCTAACAAAATTATAAACTCTGTAGGGCTTTATATTTCTCCAACCTTTCAGGATGCTGGACACAGAGTAAGCACTTATTACATATTTATAGGGTAAAAGAAATTAAAGACCTAATTTACAAAAGCATTCCTCAAGGATAAATCCAGTGATCATACACTCATTCAACATTGATGACAGGCAGCAGAGCAGAATGACAGAGAACGAGGGCACTGCAGCCAGACCGTCTGGGTCTGAATCCTGGCTCTGCCACTCCCTCTGAGACCTTAGGCAGATTGCTTCTCATCTCTGTGCCTCAGTTTCCTTATCTGTGATATAGGTATGATACTAGTTTCACCTGCAAAGGGTTACTGTAAGGATGAAATAAGTTAATATTTGTGAAGCATATTGAACTGTGCCTGGCTCATAGCAGTACTATGCTTGCTGATTAAAAATTAAGTACCTACACTGGGATACAGTGCCAGGAGCCAGATCGTAAAGAGGAGCAAGACCAATTCCCTGCTTTCGTGACACTCACAATCCAAAAGACAGATGAATTACTTTTATTCCTTTACCACCCATTACAGAACTAAGAACAAAAACACTTTTTACCATTACTGGGTACCCAATTCTCGGTCAATATTTACATAATATTGAAAATAACATTTAATAAAAAGTAATGTTTTAATTAAAACATATTCAGAGTAGGGACACTTATTAAAATGTATTCAAGAGAGTGTTAACTTTTAGGACAAGGAGCTAACTTTTAGGACAGCTATGGAAAAGAGACTGAAAGACTGCTTGAGACCTCCCACCTTTAGATCTAAGATGTTGCAATGTCTAGATCACAGGAGGGGCAAACCCACTAAACCAATGGTTTATTTGGTGGTCCAGGGCAGTTCCAGGCACTTCCCTGTAAACTGCAGCTTCACAAACCACATCACATCTCGAAGAAGATGTTCATGATGATGCCCTAAGAGAAGCCATTAGAGGGAGTAGGAGTGCTAGGCTTGAAAAAGACAAAACTGGACAGTTTTTTTTCCCCCCAGCTTGGAAATGTTCTCTGATTCAGGGGAAACAACACGTTTTCCTATGAAGACCAGATTTCAACAAACCCAGAGTGCCAGCTAAGAGGGCTCTGGGCTGTCTTCCAAAAAGAGAAGATGATTGAAAAGAGGATTGGCTTTGAAGTCAGAAGGGCTGAGTACCAACCCCATCTCCATGGAGCCATGAGTCATCTAACATTGCCCCCCAACCACATCTGCAATCTCTTCTCAGGTTGTATTTCAGCTGGATGTTGCACATTCTTTGCATGTGCACGCATGTGTGTAAGTGTGTAGAAGCAGTAAGGGGTGGGGGAAGGTGGGGTGGGGGTGTCCTCCTGCCTGAAAAGCTTTGCTTGTCTTTCTTTTTTTTTTCTTGAGATGGAGTCTTCCTCTGTCGCCAGGCTGGAGTGCAGTGGCGTGATCTCAGCTCACTGCAACTTCCACCCCCTGGGTTCAAAGGATTCTCCTGCCTCAGCCTCCTGAGTAGCTGGGATTACAGGTGCGTGCCACCACACCCAGCTAATTTTTGTATTTTTAGTAGGGACAGGGTTTCACCATGTTGGCCAGGATGGTCTCGCTCTCTTGATCTTATGATCTGACTGCCTCGACCTCCCAAAGTGCTGGCTGTGAGCCACCGTGCCCAGCCCAAAGCTTTGCTTTTCTTTGAGTAGTCAGTCAACCTTTTTTTTTTTTGTCCTTCCAGACTCAAGCAGAAGCTGATCACAGTGGTTAACCAGACATTACCAGTCCATTCACATTATAAAGTATAACCATGTATAAATTTCCTCACCTACTACAATTACATATTCACCTGTTGTTCACATGGTGAGCCTTTGAGGACAGGGGTATACATCTATTTACCTTTCTCCTTGCAGCACCTGGCTTCTAAATATATGTGGGCTGAATGGACAAGTGTTTTCCAATAGTGATTATCACATGGCATAGACAGGCTTGGATCAAAGGCCCTAAGTGTTGGGAATCACAGTCACAGCAGTCACTTGCTACTCAGTAGACATGCTTCTCCATTTGAACAAACACACTGCCAAGATCATCATTTATCTGATGTCCAGGGGAATCTATCCATAAAATGATTACTCTTTTGCAGCTGGAAAGGTGTTGCATGTGACACAGTGTTGAGTGTGGTAGACAGAACTTAAGGGGCAGATTCAGAGACCAAAGACTTCACATTTCTAGTTCTAGCCCTCACTGTCCCCTTCCTCAGGGATCATTATCTTTTTTTTTTTTTTTTTTTTTTTGAGACAGAGTCTCACTCTATCGCCCAGGCTGGAGTGCAGTGGCACCATCTCAGCTCACTGCAACCTCCGCCTCCTGGGTTCAAGCGATTCTCCTGCCTCAGCCTCCTGAGTCGCTGGGACTATAGGCATGTGCCACCCACCCGGCTAATTTTTGTTTGTTTGTTGTTGGTTTTTTTTTGAGACAGAGTCTCATTCTGTCACCCAGGCTGGAGTGCAGTGGCGCGATCTTGGCTCACTGCAAGCTCTGCCTCCCAGGTTCACGCCATTCTCTTGCCTCAGCCTCCCAAGTAGCTGGGACTACAGGCGCCCATCACCACGCCCAGCTAATTTTTTATACTTTTAGTAGAGATGGGGTTTCACTGTGTTAGCCAGGATGGTCTCGATCTCCTGACCTTGTGATCCACCCGCCTCGGCCTCCCGAAGTGCTGGGATTACAGGCGTGAGCCACCGCACCTGGCATGATTTTTGTATTTTTTTTTAGTAGAGACGGGGTTTCACCATATTGGCCTGGCTGGTCCCGAACTCTTGACCTCATGATCCACCCGCTTCGGCCTCCCAAAGTGCTAGGATTACAGGCGTAAGCTACTGCACCCAGCCCCAGGGATCATTATCTTTGTGTGGCAGGGCATTCATTCAATTTGGATTTTTGCAGATGATGATAATTTATACAGTGGGTATTCACCGTGCTATCAAAACAGATTAACTTTTGAACTTCTAAGAAAACACTAGTCAGTGCACCCACCAAACCACAATTTCCTTTCCTTTTTTTTTTTTGAGACAGAGTCTTGCTCTGTCACCCAGGCTGGAGTGCAGTGGCGTGATCTCGGCTCGCCACAACCTGTGCCTCCTGGGCTCAAGCGATTCTCATGCCTCAGCCTCCCCAGTAGCTGGGACTACAGGCGTGCTCTACCACGTCCAGCTAATTTTTGTATTTTTAGTAGAGACAGGGTTTCACCATGTTGGCCAGGCTGGTCTCGAAATCCTGACCTCAGGTGATCTGCCCTCCCAGGCTTCCCAAAGTTCTGGCATTACAGACGTAAGCCATCGCACCCAGCCTCCTTTCATCTTTTTGTCTTTCATCATTTTATGTGCTGGGCTTTCTTTTTACATTTTAATTTATTTATTTTAGTAAGAAATAGCTTCCAGTGTAAGAGTATGTATAAGTATGCCACCTTCTGGATAACAAGAGGGGGTAAAGATAGTTATATGTAGTTGTTTGTAACTCTGCAGAACATCTCTATAAGGATACAGAGGAATGAGGGAACACTGGTTACCTCCCAGGAGAAAAGCTAGGTGTCTAGCAGGCAGGGTGAGAAGCGGACTTTTTACTTATACCCTTTTGTATCTTTGGGGGTGGCACCATATAAATTATCTCACTTCCTTAGATATGAAACACAAGCTAATAATAATTTTACAACTAATACTTTGAAGGCATTATTCAAGTGCCTTCCCATGAATGTTACTGCCAAATTAACACAGCTGAGGGAAAATAGGGCTTAGGTACTTGGTCAGTACATGACATCTGTGGACTGTGAGGGAGGAAGTTCAACTCAGTTGTCTAACATCTCTTGGGTTTTATGGTCATTTTCTATTTTTAAAATTCTTTTATTTTCTTCCTGATTCAATTAACAAGTTTTTATTTAGTGCCTACTCTTTGCCCAGTACTGTCCTGGGAATCCTAGGAGATATAAAAGAAGCCTTCATGAAACAACTTTTACAGTTCTTGCCAAGTGTGGAGATCACTGTGGAATGGTGTGGCTAGAAAGTCATCCTGGAAGCAGAGTCTTACTTGCAGAGACGCAGAAGGCTTAGACAAATGGAAGGAGGGCAGAAGGGGCTGCTGGCCAGGGGCAAAGCTTGACAGGGGCAGAAAGCGATATGGGTGGTCAGAGAGGCCCGTTTGGACACTCCCGATAGGTCAGGCAGAAGAACTTAACCTTGGGAGTCCATTAGGAGTGATAAGAGAAGGAAGCCTGGTATTAGCAAGGAAATCAGAGAGAACCGAGAAACCAGATGCCAGGAGACCACCCTTGTTGCAATAATCCAAATGTAAAATGATGAGGGTTTGGATTTAGAATGTTCCAGGGGAAACAGAAAGGAAACAATTCATGAGACATTTCAGAGGAGGAAACACCAGGTCTTGATGATGGAGATGAGAATGGGAGAAATCACACGATTCCAATTTTTCTACCTTGGGAAGCCAGCAAAGGGACTTCTTTTCAGATCTCATTTCTTTCCTCGCACACAAATTGACCCCCTCGTAGAGTTCAGTTGAAATATCAATTACAAACATAATTGATCTATTTTTTTCCCTTAGAAACACAGGTAATCTTATTTGCCTTTAGCTAAATGACCCAAGATGCACCTTGCTTGGCTTTGCTCTTGGACAGCACTCATACCTCTATGACAGTGCTCCCCACTTTGGCCTTGTACTGCGTCTGTGGTGTGTAGGTGCGTTTATTACCCACTAAACCAAAAGTCTGTGTTGTGCAGGGACCATGTCTCATGCATAGTTAAGTATTAAAAAGTTTTTGTTAATTGTTTAAGAAAATTATATTTACATGAAACAATACTTTAAAAAGCTTTCCAGAAACAACAGCATTAAAACAAAATCATTGAAATTAAAATTTTCATAAATTAAAAGGTTCTCTGCTCCACATGCCAAGAAAAGATCTTATACTATTGTAATAGTGTTAGAGTCACAGTTTTATTCCTCAGCTTAAGTGCTGCAATACAGTAATAAGAATGCAGTACCAGAATACTGTGTCACAAACAATTAAACGAAACACTTCATATATGCTTTACACAAGTTATTGGATATTGCTTAGTATTTATTTCCCCCACCCCTGCGGTGCAAAGATATTAATATTCTTGTTTTATAGGAGAGGAAACAGGTAAAGAGAAATTAAGAAATTTGCACAAAGTCATCCAGCTAGTAAATGTTGGAGCTGGGATTTGAACCCAGACAACTTGGTCAAGTCTCCATCCTTAACAGTTCTGCTCTGTATTGCATAAGCAGACAGCTCCCTTTTGGGGACTGACAGGTTATTTGAGGCATATGAACCATTTCTGGTGGGGGGGCTTTTCCACCCCGTACTGGAAGTGTCTAGTGATATGGGGCATAACCTTAGGAGCAAGCAGGAAAAGAAGAACTGTATTCCAATACTATTAAGAAATATACCAGAGTAAACGAATAACCATCAATAACAGCATTTTACAGCCTACCTAGTAACACAAGAATAAAACTCTTTATCCGGAATCTAAATAATACCCCCTCCTCTCATTTTATTAAAAGCCTTGCTTTATTTGGAAACTCTTAAAATAAGTGATCATACGATTAAAAAAAGCAGCGGCGCGCCCCCTCCCCGGCGGCCGGGCGCAGCTGTCCGCGCCTCCCCCGCGCGGCTGCCCGCATTCCAACTCTCTGAGGTCACGGACCGCCGCCGCCTCCCCAGATCCGCCCGCCCGGCCCAGGGGGAGGGACGCCCGGGCCTGGCCGCCCCGCTGCTCCGGCCGCGCGTCCCGCGTCGGTCCGACATTCTGTCCGTCCTGCTGCCACCCCACGCCCCCTCAAGGCTTCTTTGTGGGGCGCTCCTCGCCGGCCAGTCCCACCTCCAGGCCTCGCCCCTCGCCGTCTCCACCGCCGGACTCTGCTCAGGGGAATGGTCTGCGGGCCGGGTTTTTGGAGACAGGAAGTGAGGCGTGCGAGCCCCATGAGCGCGCCGCGGCGCGGGCTGGCGTGCGGGTGCGGCTGCGGCGACCGCGCGGCGGGGCCCCGGGAGGCGGGTCGCTGAGCGGGGCGCGCGGCCCCGAGGATGCGGGAGCGGGAGCAGGTGAGGGCGCGGGCCCCGGCCGGCGGGAGGGGCGGGCCCCGGCACGAGCGGTGGGGTGTGTCCGCTCGCCGGGACCCCAGAGCGCGCCCGCGGCCCCGGAGTCCCGGAGAATGGGGCGCGGCGGCCAGACCCGTAGCGGTAGCGTAACAAAGAGAAAAGTCTTGCTTTTCCAGGTTCGCTCTCGTGTACTTGAGTAATTTCTAAAAGGGGTCTTGAACTTCTATTCTGAACGCCCTGGCCGATTGTTGCGGGTTAATTCTGGATCAGGGTTTTAAATGTGTTAGGCATATTTGTGCCTCTCAGAATATGTAAACGTGAAATTCGCCAGATAACTTTGGCGAGAAGGGGCGCAGGGAAGGGCTGTTTGGTAACGCCTGGGTTTGTTTTTGGAGTAGAATGTTTACTCTGGAAAAAAGAATTATTGGATCTGCAAATTCCGACTTGTGATTTCTGCAAATCCTGATTAGATTGGCCGCTCTTGGCATGCTCGTCCTGTTTTTTGCTGAGAAAGCCTTATAATAATAGCGTATGCTCACAACACATTCAAAACATTCGTGTGCTCCAAGTGACAACTGCTGTATGCCTAATAGTTGCTGACAGTTTATTTATTTTTTTAAGTTTGGGATACGACAGTAATTTTACTCTCAGTATAGTCCGTTTTGTTTCTAGGGCATTTTATTCTGGAGCATCTACGCGCAGATGTTTTCTCCGTGAGAAACATGGGTTTAATGCTAAAGCTATAGATACTACTCTAAAAATGTCACATACTTTCTCCTTTTAGTGCTTATTTTATTTTAAAGCAACGCTGGCAAAATTACACGTGGTGAGGACCTTAATAGGAAGTGGAATCGCTATAAGATCGAGAAGTAAAGTGTATTTGAGAAACTTTTGGAAAGGGATGTAGAGAGGGAAAATTAAAATGAATTCACAAATAGTTCAGACTGCCTTTTGTAAACTTGTACTGAAGCAGAATCTAGTATGTATTCGTTTACTTACCACAAAACGGAAAGATTTTGTAGAGAAACAAAATCATCGTTTTCCTTTAATAGCTATTTATAAATTATATTTACTTTAGTAAATTATAATTCCAGACCCAATCACTTTCATATTATTGCATATTATTTTATACCTGAAACAGCCCTCCCCAAAGAACTCTTAAATTTGTACTCATCTTGGTTTTATTATCTTCAGACATTGATAATTGTATTACATCATTTGGCAACAAATACTGCATATTACTGAAAATTAAGATGTGTAAATCATTGATAAATTTGTAAATTATTAAGCAAAATCATTATTTTAACATAGTGGGTTTTATATAAATAAGCAAAAAGCAAGCCATTCTTATGGATAGATCTTGGGGGGATGCACCATATACACACAGACTGCAACTTTTTCAATTTCATCTACTAAAAATAATTTGACTTTTCCTTTATCCCTGATGCAGTAATACATTTCAAGTCTCAGGGACTATTGAACGTTTTACTGAGTTTGCTTAATCAGAGCTTAAGTTAATAATTAAGTTATACAGTGTAGTATCTATTGCTTTCAAGGCGTAGTTCTACGTAGTGAAAAGACTACCATATTTTAATGGCACCTAATACAAATATTTATCTTTCCTCTACACATATGCAATATCTTGTCTGTTCGTCTACACTACTTAATCCGCCCGGTTTCCAGTTACCATAATTTTTATATAAAATTGAAACCCACCATCTGATCTCATGAAAGGGTGTTTAGTATGCATATTTATAATCCTTAAATATTTACACTCTTGGTTTATCAATTTTCTGGTTAAAAGCTTATTATTTAAAGTTGTCATTTGCTAATTTTTTTCCATCTTGCTTTACTTATTTATTTAGTTTATACCCCGAAACATCAAAGGGCATTGAAAACTACTGGAAGTGGAAACCGTATCTTTTTAATATTTATTTTCTGTTTCCCTCCATAGTATGGTGCTTTTACCTACAGAAGGCACGCAGCAAATGCTGTTAATTAACACAGTGCTTTAGGTAGTTCCAGCTTTGTTTTTTTCTTCTGGCCTGCCCCAACCCTTGTTTTTAATATTTTGATTTTCCTGGCTATGGGGAATAACCAGAGCTCAAAACAAACAAAAAACTAGCCAGATAAAACCGTGGTTGGGTCCTTATTAGAGATACAGCTCTGTATGTAATTATAGCATGGTTGTAATCTCCTTAAAGACAGCGACGGCTTAGGGATTCGTCTTAGATTTCTCACGATGCTCATTACGCTGTCTTGTACCCAGAGATGCAACACAAATTTGTGGAATGGAATTTCAAAATGTTAAGTTTGGCAAAGCCGAGGGTAGTAGCCGAACCCTTTTCTCCAGCTCTGCCATTCCCTAACGCTGTGTGCCCCATCACCTCTGGGCCTGAGACGCAGTCAGGAGAGCAGGACCCAGCAAAGGACTGGGAGTGTGGAATTTGGGATCGATTCCCAGCTTAGCCCGTCCTAGCGTGCACCTGCGAAAGCCGCTTCTCTTCCTGAAGCCTTGGTTCTGCCTGCTAGATGAGAGGGTCGGGAGCAGATCCTGCCTCTCCGCGCGGTCCGGGGCCGGAGCTCATAGTAGCCAGCTATAGCCGGGTCTCGCTAAGCGATTCATCCCCAACAGGCAACCTCTGCGCAGAAGAAGGTGGGGAACCGTCTCAGGACCCTGGAAATATCCGGGATTTTGTAGACTCGTCTAGGGGGAAAAAACTAATCCAGCTGATACAAAAATTCCCAGCTGGTGCTCGCTCCCATTTGCCTCAGCCCAGAAGTTACCATCAACAGGTCTGGTTAAAAACTCGGTTAGAGTCCGGCGTGGTGGCGCGCACCTGTGGTCCCAGCTACCCGGGAGGCTGAGGCGGGAGGATCGCTTGAGCCCAGGTGTTCGAGGCTGCGGTGAGCTACGATTGCGCCACTGCAGTCCAGCCTGGGTGGCATAGCAAGACTTCGCTCTATAAAACACGTTGTAAGGAGCGTATTTCGAGGTCCTGTGGCTCCAAAGCGGGTATGACAACCTCTCCACCGCCAGTAGGGCTCGCGCTGGTCCCTTTAAATGTTTCCTTCGGGAGCAGAGGGACCGGTCCGTTTAGAGCGCGTCCGTCCAGAAACGCGGCTGCAGAAAGAGGGTTCCGGAGCCTCCTAGTCTACTGGTTGTCCTGGCAACGCCGCTTGCTCTTCCCAAGGGGAGGACGCGGAAGAAGCCTGGGCCTCAGTGCTCCAAGGCCCCGTGGGCTTCTTGCGTTTGTTGCCCCCCAAGCCGCTCATTAACTCAGGATGGCGTGGAAGGCCTCGCCCGCCTCCCCTTCTGGGCCGCGGCTCCGCTTAGGTGAAGGCCTGTTTGGGCGTCCCCACCCTGGAGAGGGGCCGGGGTCTGGATTTTCAGAACTGCCGCTCTTCCAGTGGTAAATGAATGAATAACGAGCATTTGTAGGGTATTTTATGATGTTTATCAGTAAATCAATTTGATGACGTGAATACTTCCACAGGCGCTTGTTAGGCACCTCACCGCGTCTGAACCACACACCTGCCATTCTTAGTGGGGATTATTCCTCCCATTTGCCTTCAGGGTTAATTTTCTAAAGGGATTGGGACTGGAACCTAGCTCTTTTGGGGGTATTTTGCACTTTTCTCACTTAAGGACTAAAGAACTCTGACATTTGGAGTACTACAACCTGAGTTACCTATGAAGAAACACCACCTTATCCAAAATAGGAAGAGGACCACGAATACTAACATTTGGGATTATAGTAGTGCTGGCCATTATCTCATTTAATCCTGACGATGGCCTAGCTTGCTATCCCTATTTGTAGGATACAGTGAAGGGTGGAGTCTGACCCTGAGCCCAACACAACTCTGAGATAAAATTCCACCCTGCCTCCCGGGTCCTGTTAGTGCTTCCTTTTTCCAGCGGGTGGGGACAGCTTATTATTTGGACACAGCTTGACTGGCTTTTATTTATATTAAGCAAAGCCCAGCGTTACCTTTGCTTAAGTAACGGCGTCCCTCTTTCCCCAGCGCTGGCGTCGATGCTCACTTCCTCGGGCCATTGGAGACTCCGTTGCTTTTTAATGGCGGCAGCGGCTGCTGGGTGAGCAGCTGGAGGCCGGACAGTGTTCGTCCCATTCGGAGAGGATTGATTTCTCCTGGCGTCACCACCGCTGGGTTGGTGGGGGTAGCTTTTCCCTCTTTGCTCCTCCACTCTTGAAGAAAGAAGAAGATGCCACTGCCATTTGGGTTGAAACTGAAACGCACTCGGCGCTACACGGTGTCTAGCAAGAGCTGCCTGGTTGCCCGGATCCAGCTGCTTAATAACGAGTTTGTGGAGTTCACCCTGTCCGTGGAGAGCACTGGCCAGGAAAGCCTCGAGGCCGTGGCCCAGAGGCTGGAGCTGCGGGAGGTAAGCCACCGAAAGACTGCAGGCCGGGCGTGGGTGGCTCACGCCTGTAATCCCAGCACTGAGAGACCGAGGCGGGTGGATCACCTGAGGTCAGGAGTTCGAGACCAGCCTGGCCAACATGGTGAAACCTCGTCTCTACTAAAAATACAAGGCCGGGCGCGGTGGCTCACGCCTGTAATCCCAGCACTTTGGGAGGCCGAGGCTGGCGAATCACAGTCAGGAGTTCGAGACCAGCCTGGCTAATATGGTGAAACCCCATCTCTACTAAAAATACAAAAATTAGCGGATGTGGTGGTGGGCACCTGTAGTCCCAGCTACTTGGGAGGCTGAGGCAGGAGAATCACTTGAACCTGGGAGGCAGAGGCTACAGTGAGCCAAGATTGTGCCACTGCACTCCAGCCTGGGCTACAGAGCAAGACACCAGCTCAAAAAAAAAAAAAAAAAAAAAGTAGCTGGGCCTGGTGGTGGGCCCCTGTAATCCCAGCTACTGGGGAGGCTGAGGCAGGAGAATTGCTTGTACCCAGGAAGTGGAGGTTGCAGTGAGCTGAGAACACACCACTGCACTCCAACCTGGGCAATATGAACGAAACTCTGTCTCAAACAAACAAACAAAAAAGACACTGCAGGCTTCTCTGTTTGGCATGCTGGCTGTGTGTTCTAGCCCACTGGCCACTCACTGTGTGTCCCTGGCTGGGATGTCTGAGTTGAGCCTGTAGGTTCTCTCCTCATGAAGCAGGAATAGATTAGAGCAAGATGTCTTCCCTTGGGGTGCCGTATAATAACTAATGGTTCTTATTTTGAATATGTTTGTATTCCCCCCTAAACGTAATCCAGAATCAAATGTGAATACACTCTGGGTTGTTCAAATCTCTATTTTCTAATATACCCCCTATGATATACTAGGTCATCCCTATCTCTAGTATAGTTTACTGACTTCATTCTTTCTTTTTTGTTCATTTTTATTTTTTTAGAGGCAAGGTCTAGCTATGTTGCCCAGGTTGGTTTCAAATTCCTAGGCTCAAGTGATCCTCCCGCAATAGGCATGTGCCACCATGTCCGGCTCCTGACTTCATTCTTTCAACATTCATTGAGTAAACAGAAAATTCATTGACTATATTCTTATAGGTCAGATCAAGGTTCTAGAGACATATTGCCTGAACTCAGTTTGAGTTCTAGTTTCCTTACCATCTGCTTCTATTACCTTGGGCAAGTTATGTGATATCTCTGAGCCCCAGTTCCCCATCTGAAGCATGGGGATGACTGTGACACCTAATTCTCAGAGTAGTATAAGGCCATAGGCTCTACTAACTGTTAGAGTACTGATTGGGAGGTTTGCCCAGGAAACCCCTAATCTAGTTGGTAGGAAGTTATGGAGTACTTATGTATCCGAATAATGTCTTAAATTTAAAATGTTATGCAAGGCCTGTGAAGAAAGGTCTCTAATTAAACCTAGGACCCTCCCTACCTTTGGCTGCCTGATTCTGGGGTAAGGGAAAGTTAGAGAAACTGGTTATTCCACCTAAAAAGTCAGGAATAGATGAACTTTCTCCTGGTGACCATCCAGTCACTTATATGAGAACTCAGTACTGAAGACGCATAAGTGCCAAGCACGTACATACTTGGAAGCTCACCCTGGTGTTGTTGCCAATAAGAAAACAGGCATGATGCATGCTGTGATAAGGGAAGTAGAGGTTGTGCCATAGGCCAGAGGGAGGTGCAGCAAAGGGAAGGCTGCTCGGGGAAGTTGATTCTGAGCTGTGACCTGAGGATGGGGCAAGGGAGTCCTATCAGGGGCTGGAAGAGTTCCAACAAAGAGAACTGCACAGGGCCAAAGACACAGAGGGAGCTGGTCTGCCTGAAGCCTGAAGTGCGTGGAGGAAAGGCTGACTGTAAGGGCAGCAAATGAGGATTTTTTGTTACCAAAGGATTTGGATTTATCCTGAGCATAGTGGGGGAGTTTAATGAAGGGTGTAAACAGGTGTGGTACATTTGTTTCTGTGAAGAGTGAGCCCTTTGGAGAATGATTCGAAGGGCGTGGTTCAGGTACAGATGGTAGCCACCTGGAGTTGGATAGGGTTGGAGAGAGGTGGTTGAAATCTGGAGATATTCAGGACCTACCGAGTAATAGGCAGGGGTTAGCATGGGTCCAGGTTGATATTCAGGTTTTCAGTAGATGGTGGGGCTATAACAGAGAGGAAATGTGAAAGGAAGTGCAGATCTATTAGGGGCAAGGAGGAGCGTGTGGTGAGCTCGGTTTTGGAAATACTGAGTTTGAGGTGTTTGAGGTGTCAGTTGGAGGTGTTGAATAGACAGATGGATCTGTTGATCTGGAGTTCAGGCACGAGATCCAGGTTGGAGGGAAGAGATTGGGAAGTATCAGTCTAAGTGAGTTCATTAAAGCCAGAAGATGGTATGAGGCTCTCCAGGGGAGAAAAAGAGGACATTGCCGACCCCTTATGGTACATTAGAGGAGGGGAGAGTGTTGGAAGGAAACTGAGATGAAACTGCCCAAGAAGAAGAAAGAAAACCAGAACAGCAGGCCTCAGTAACCAGTCCCTGTTTACTTGCATTTATTCTTTCATAGGGATGGGGTCTCACTCCATCACCCAGGCTGGAGTACATCGGCACCATCATAGCTCAATACGTCCTCAAACTCCTAGGCTCAAGTGATCCTTTTGACTTAGTCTGCCAAGAGCTGGGACTATAGGTACACAACCACACCCAGCTAATTTTTTTTTTTTAACTTGTATTTTTGAGATGGAGTCTTGCTGTGTTGCCCAGGCTGGTCTGGGAGTTCTTTCCTCTAGTTATCTTCCTGCTTCAACCTCCTGAGTAGGTGGGATTATAGGCATGTGCCTCCTTGCTTGGCTTAGTGGCTTATTCTATTTATTTATTTATTTTGCTTGCTTTGACTTTTTTTTTTTCCTACTATGGTTTCTTCTTCCTGTAATTTTCTTCCTCATGCACCAGGTCTGTCTATAACGCCTAGAGTCAGCTTCTTGAAGAACTATGGTTTGTTTATTTATTTATTTATTTTGAGATGGAGTCTCACTCTTGCCCAGGCTGGAGTGCAGTGGCACAATCTCGACTCACTGTAAGCGCCACCTCCCGGGTTCACGCCATTCTTCTGCCTCAGCCTCCTGAGTAGCTGGGACTACAGGTGCCTGCCACCACGCCCGGCTAATTTTTTTGTATTTTTAGTAGAGATGGGGTTTCACCGTGTTAGCCAGGATGGTCTCGATCTCCTGACCTCGTGATCCACCCGTTTCAGCCTCCCAGAGTGCTGGGATTACAGGCATGAGCCACCACGCATGGCCCCAGTTTATTTTTATACCAGGTGTGGAATGTGTTCAGTAAATACAGGGAGAGCTGAACCCACAGGCATTGCCTTCCTTCTGTTAATAAGTCCAGAGAAATTGCCATCCATTATTAGAAGTTATCAGTCTCAGGGAACTGGTAACTTTATATAGCTGTGGGTATATTTTGAGCCTGATTTTTACCAGAAGAGGAAACAGGCATGGTCCCTAGAAAATGTTTTGCCCTCGGAGAGTCTGTTCCACAGTTTCTGACATTTAGTAACAGTCAATGGTAGAAAATTTGTATAGCAAACTTTTCCTTTGAAAGCTCCAGAAGCTCTGCTCTGTAGCATATAAACAGATGGCTCAGGCGTCAGGCCTAATCTTACCAAATGACTGTTCAGAAATAATCTGAGTGGGGTCACACCTGTTTCTAGTTTGTACATATAGTCTCTGATTCATACCAAGAAATATCACTATGTTGGTTTCTTGCACTATTCTCTCACCAAGCAAATCTGGAGTTATATCTTATAGATTTGGGTGAAAAACTTTGTTACTGTCCAAATATAAATGGAGGGAAAAGTCTTTCCTCTTGCTTAATTGAATACCATTTCACTTCTATAATGACAATTTTTTTTTTTTTTGAGATGGAGTTTCACTCTTACTGCCCAGGCTAGAGTGCAATGGTGTGATCTCAGTTCACTGCAACCTCTGCCTCCCAGGTCCAAGCGGTTCTTCTGCCTCAGCCTCCCCAGTAGCTGGGATTACAGGTGCCTACCACCACGCCTGGCTAATTTTTTTTTTTTTTTTTTTTTTTTAAGTAGAGACAGGGTTTTATCATGTTGGCCAGGCTGGTCTCGAACTCCTGACTTCACATGATCTGTTCACCTTGGCCTCCCAAAGTGCTGGGATTACAGGAGTGAGCCACCGTGCACGGCCCTATAATGACAGTTACAAGGGCAGCACAATAATATTATTATAACACTATACCCAGGGGTTTCAGCTATATCAGTAGTGTTTCTTACACTGGGTGTATGGGTATTTTTTTTTGTTTGTATTTTTAATCTTCATATTTTTACAAGTGTCTAAGATATATTAAATTAAAAGCAACATGGTTAATATACATATATCCAATATAGTTAACTTAGGTTGCTAACTTTCTTCTCAATTCACCATATTTGAACTACAGAAAGTAACTTTTAAAAGTGGGAAAATGAATGATCCCCTTAGGAAAATGTTGCTGTTCATTATAGCAATAGTTTCTCAAAGCTGTTGGAATTCCCTGCCTATCATTCTTCTGAGTTTCAAAACATTTTTTCAGGAGAGGCTTTGAGTCCTTATGGAGTTTAAGGGGAGCTAGAAAATTCTCTCAAATTTTAAAAGTATATGCTGAAAAGTATATGCTGAAGGAGGTGGCTTGAAGGAGGTGGTGAGACAAGAGGGTGCCACCTGGGCATGGCCACTGCCTGGGGCATCACCTTGATGGAATCAGCACAGTCCAGAGTACAAGAGGCAGGCTCAAAAATCTCATGTCATGGGAAGATCTGATTTAATCTAGCTCACTGAGAATGATGTGCAAAACCAGGACCCAAGTTTAGTAATTTATAAGCAATAAGGAACTGCCAAGGGTCCCAGTTATGTGTACCCTCTGCCCAGGCTAAGATTTTCCTATAGTTAGGGCACATGGGAGCCAGAACAAACCAG